GCCTCTCCCTGTTATGACCGCAATGCTCCGACCCTCTCCCGTGGACGTAGTCCCCCCAACCACCCCGATGACTCCCGCATACCCCGGCAGGTCCTCCGAATCAGTCATACCCAGGCTCTCACTCAAACAGTCCTCACAGAATAGTTAAAAACACAGATTACAGCAATAATAATAATAAAAGTGAGGTCATTCATACCATCCCAGACAATCCCATGCACTCACATACCAGATAAAAATTTAAAGATTAAAAAATTGCGCAGGTTCACAGAGTCCGTACTAGACTTATAATAGTCCAAAGGTGTCTTCCGCCCTCTCCTAGGGGAGGGCCACACCTTGAGGGGGGCTCCTCTGAAGAGTTCAGTATAGATATGGGAGATAGGGTGAGTTCGAGTGTCAGCTCGATATTCCCTGGCATTTTTGGACTTGGTGTGGTCTAGCATTGTCACAAATTCCCAATTTAAACTACCGTTAAATCTGTTTATAGATTGTGAAATTAAAGAATTTTGTTCATGTCTTCCGACCCCCAGTTGGTATTCATGGATGCATTCTGACATTATTCCGCCTGTTCATGTCACTTAGTGGTGGTTGCAGTCCTTATATTGTACCTTTACATGACTCTTGTTATTCTTCTGTGCTTGCTCTGTCTTTTGGTTTGCTTACGAAATTTTGATGGGCTTTAGTTGGCTCATGTGCTACACTGATTCTATATGGTTGTCCAGGTTGTTTGGTGGCTTTTGAGATGTTCTTTAGGTATAGCAGTGTAATTCTGTTTAGGGTTTGTGTTTGTTGTGCTGTATTGGATTGAGTGGTTAGGGACATTTTGATAAAGATGTGTGGGAATGCATTTTGTTGGAATGTGTTGCATAGATGCATGGACTACATGGCCTAGGATGCAGATATCTGCGAGACTGTCTTCTGCCACATACCTCCCAACGGCCGATAAGATCACGCAGGGTGGGCCTTCTCCAGGTACCGTCGGCCAGTCAGTGTCATCTGGTGACCCCCCGGGGAAGGGCCTTCTCTGTAGCTGCTCCGATCCTATGGAACGATCGACCCTGGAGATCCGGACCCTTCCCACTCTCACAGCCTTCTGAAAGGCTACCAAAACCTGGCTCTTTCGGCAGGCCTGGGGCTGTTGACCTCATTTGTGAGGTCCAGCCCCATGAAGATTGAGTGTATGAAGTGATCTTTTAATCTGTTTTTATTCTCTCTATTTTTATTTTTTATTTTTTTTTTCCGTTCAAACCGCGATGTTAGGCGGCGTTAGGTGGCTTCCGCGGCCAGCAATGTAGGCGGCCAGCAATAGCAGCAATAACAGCGTCTCTCGGCATCCGTGTCGCTTCCCAAACTCCCCCTCTCACCAGCTTTCTTTTGTTCGTACAATCTTCGCCGTCTCCACAAGTTCTTTCCGTTCA